CTGGGATTAGCCCACTAGCTCATATGAACATTTGAGTCCAACGGTCCATATTGAATCTAGGCCGATCTGACGATCACGGATGTCCGTTAGTGTTTGAATTTTAATTTTTTTTCTACAAATTCAAATCACTTGAAATTCTAGGAGTGTGTTCATAAAAAATAGTTGAATCTTTGAAAATATCAAAAAAATATTTTACATGAAATAAATTGACAAAAATACCTTCAAAAAGTTTGGAGGTATTTTGGTCATTTTTTTATATAGATGTTGAGATGGTGAATTAGAGTGCTTTTCAATATTAAAACAATTTTTTCGAATGGATTTTTTAGTTGCATCTGTAAATGTTGCGATCCTTCTTTAAAAATTTGTGCTTTGGCGGACTTCAAGTAAAATTGGATAAGGGTGTTGTTTTAACTGGGCCGTAAGTTTATAAACTTAGGAACGCCGGTGATTAAAAATCTCTGACCCGGATCAATAATTGTTCATGGGCGTGCAAAAAAAATGTAAAAGGATCAACCCTAATAAAATCAAAGTATGGGGCACCCCTAAACTGTCAAAAGATGCAGTAGAGGGCCTAAAAGCCCCGAGATAGCCTGAAACCTTTTTTCATCCTTAATTATGAAATGTGAGGTTTAAAAAAAGTGCAAATAAAGTAGATCTATAAACACTTGAAAATCTTGATAACGGATGGTCCAGGTAAATACAGTATAAGACGCAATATTTTCATGACTTAAAATGTTTTTTGTTTCATAACCATATATCCCTAGTTGAGAGGATCAATTGGAAGGTTTTATAGAATTGAAATATTGTTTTTCATTGGTTTTTGAGCTTCATCTTACTTTCAACATCCTATATAAACATTTTCCTTGACAAAAACTTCCGAATCATATGCAAAAAAATATGTAGATCATTGCTGCATTTCTTTTACAATATATTTGGATTTGGTGATTTTTTTTTTTAAGTAGCCCGAATTTTGTGTAAAACTCGGGGTAAAACAGCCTCGCCCATGGGTTGAGTTACCCGCCTAAGTCCAAATGAACTTGGCGAGCTCCATAATGTGAAGAGCCTCAAGTTTATGTGAAGAGACTTAGGGTTCGTTGAACATATGAATATACAAACTTATCTTTTATAGACAAATTATAGATGACAATAATAGAAATAAATCCTATACTATATTTAGACTTACCATAAATACAAAATATTGTATGTACCCTTCCCAAATATACAGATTACAATATCCATCTTCAATATTAACCTGGTTGACAGTATATACTTTCCTTTCACACGTAACATTGTCTCTTACAATTTTGGAATAGGGTCTTGGGAGACAACTACGGTCGAACTATAATAAACTGAGTTAAAATTAAAAGACATAAAACATGATTAAAGTTTAGCTATATATAGAAATCGGAAGCAACAACGATCAAGAGAAAATAAATAATCAACAGTTGAAACTTCAATCAATGTATCTCTACTTTGGAGACAAGTCGAATCTTATTTTTCGTAAGGCGAACACTGGACTTGTGTCAAAATTTGCCAAAGTCTAAAACCATGGTCAAAAGTATTAGATCAAAATTCTCTGAGTCACGATCAAGAAAGGGATGAAGATGGTAACACAGACAACACTGAAACCAGAATAAATATGTTAAAGCCATGCTTTTCTTTTTTTTTGGAATGATGGAAAAGGAAAATTCTGGTTAGAGTCATAGACAAGAAAGGAAAAAAAAAGCTAGGACAAAACAGCTCCAAAGCAAATAGTGTTATTCCATATGTCCAAACATATTTTGTCTTTGAAACGTTCAAGCCCGGTGCCTTGCAATGAAAGGAAAGGGAAAAGGGAAGTCCCTTGGGTACTGATCCATTTTCCCATAATTCATCCCTTTTTATCTTGTACATATTATATTTATTTTGTATATAGAGTGAATAATTCATCCCTTTTTATCTTGTACATATTATATTTATTTTGTATATAGAGTGAAGTAAAATATTATGTGCACGTTTACTGTGCCCTTTAAGGAGCACAAATCCACCTAAGAATCACTAATTGAGTATTATTAAATGAAAAAAATTTAAAATTTGAGTTTTTTAACACTTAGATTTCACCATCTAAAAATTGTATGATCTCTATTCAATCTCGATACACTATTTCTTTCATGTGTATAGATGGTGCAATTAGAATTTCTTTGTTATTGAGGCTAACCTCTTGAATTTGACATTTCTATTGTTGCCGAGTCATCAACGAATGATCAATGATAAGCTCATTGTGGAATAAATGGGTTATATCTCCAAAACTTGGGGTCTATAATTAATTTTGTGGGGTTTTAGACATGGGAAAGATTTCTATGCTTTTCCTACAGTATAGAAGTTCTATTCTCCACCTACCATCCAGCCGTCCAATTTTGATTAAGAGAATCACTCACCGTTTGATCTTAGATCCGACGTCTCAAGTATTTTATTTTTAGTTTTTTTTTTTATACAAATTGCATGAATATGAAATTTGGTACATGTCATCTTCTCATTGGGGCGCACCTAAAAATAATATTAAAAATAATTTTTCTATAAAATATAATGATAAAAATACCCCTTGAAGCTTTCAGGTGTATTTTGGTCATTTTATTTTATTGAAAATATTATTTTTATATTTTTCACTAGTGTGAGTTTAATAGAGGAATGGACTTACAAAATTTGGTGTCAAAATAGTTTATAAAAAAAGAATTAAAAATGAAATAATGTAGAGACGTGTGACCTCCATTCAGAATGGACGGTTGGATAAGGGGGAAGATAAAACTTCTATGTTGTCGGGGAAGCATAGAAAGCTTGCCTTTTATACACATTATCCTCTTGCCGGAGTAATGCATATCTTTTGACTTCTATGTTTGATCAAAACAAAAAAATAAAAATAATAATAATAGAAAAAATGTTGTGCAAGAGCCTTCTGAATCACAAACGTCCATCACAAAGATGGACGTTATACAAAGTGTACTCTCTATAAATGCTATATGAAAACGTCCATCATAGAGATGGACGTTATACACAGTGTACCCTCTATAAATAATATATGGATGATGCAACAAAAAAATATCATATTATTAATTTAAAATTTTAAATAAAATATTTATTTTTTCTATATTCATAATCACCTTGTCTAGATGAAGGAATAAAATGGATTTTAGATGGTGGCCCGTATATGTACCCGTGAGTCGGCCGACACATAGAAACCCCATCGAATAAAGTATTGTGCAGAGGTGGGATAGTAGCTAAGCTACGATCGCAAAAAGGAAGAGTAAACTTGGAAACTTTTGTGGAGTTGGAGATGTTTTGTTACTTTACTTTAGTATGTAATACACAAGAGGCCTACAAGCGTCAGCAGTGTCAAAAACAGAACTGGGCAAATTTCCCAACAAATCATTAAGGCGGTCGAATTATTGCAAAATATTGAGGAAAAGGTTTATATAGAGCCGACCGAGGCTTTAAACAATTAAATTTGAACTTACCTCAAAAATTTCATTAGAAGAGGCTGTTTTGATGCTCAAATATTCTCAAATTGATCATCTCGACATTGAGATGCATTGACAGAAGAAAAAAATCGATTTCAAGTTTTGAAAATAGTGTATTTTGTAACACATTTTTGGACCGTCAATTTTCAAGATTTTCAAGTTTTCATAGATCTCCCGACCTACACCATTTTTGAAGCTTTAAACTTTATAAATAAAGATAAAAATATATTTTAAGTCTATCAAAAAGATTTATGGTATTGAAATCATATTTTTCGACACTATTTGAAGGTAGGCTCTAATTTGATTGTTAGAGCCATTATTATATAATATTTATTTCACTTGGGTACTTTAAAAAAGACTTCACTTAATTATACCCAACCTTTTCTACTCAGGATTGGGAACGTGAACCAGTATTTTAGTGATGGGTGTGGTTTCTATAAGGTTGCAACCCTAAACAATCCAATTAAGGAGCACCTCCAAATTTTATCATATCATGTAATTTTGGTGTAAAACATTCTCAGCATTATCTCAAAATCTATTTTCATATCAAATTATAAAATTTTAAATTTTAAAAATGGTTAAAATCAAGTAGTTCTATAAGCATATGAAAATCTTGAAAATGGATGGTATAGATAATGTGTTGCAAGATGCATTATTTATGGACTCAAAATCTTTTTTTGCCTCATATTCATACATCTTGTTCTCGAGATGATCAATTAAGGGGTTTTTCAATATTAAAACATTTTTTTTCGATGGATTTTTGAGATGCACATGTAATAATTCTATATTTAAAGGTTGCGACCTTATATAAACTTTTTCCCTTAGTGATTTCACCCCACTTAAGTGGCCCGAATCCAATGTTATAAATATCTCTGCTTGTTCATTGTTCTAAATATATAACATGTTTTTTATATTAATTTTTCTTGTACATGCTCGTGAGGCAGAGGCATTTCTAAAGTAGTTTAGTCATTCTTAGGAAACAAGAATAGCAACATCTTATTTAATTAGAAATGCTCCTAAATCTAAACAAGCAGGGAGATTCATGTCATTTGGCTCGAGCCCCTTGTTTATGGTTTTGAATCCTAAATAGAGCTCTTTATGGCAACCTCCCCAGGCCTGATCTAGAAAAAGAACCCTGTTTCTCAAATAACAGAGATTAATTAAGAATAAAGCATGATATTTTAGATGCTTTTCGTGTTGTACATTTTTCCCAATAAGGTAGTTTGTCTCATGTTCCTCTGTAACTAGGTTCCCTAAGGAATAGCCTAGAATTGAATGATCATTAGAGTTAATCTAGGCTCAAGAAGAATAAATGGTCCAAATAAACAGAGCTTTAACTAAAGGAGGCATCTACTATTACTTTATTAAAGTTTGGGGTTTACATAGTAACAGTTTTTCATGCCCTTATAAATAGCTTGGAAAGAAATGGTTGTACTTAGTTTAAAATTGTAGTTTTGATACAAATTCCTACATATAAGAGAGGTGGTCATATAGACCTTAAAATTTCAGCTATGGATTCAGGGAGAAATTTGAAGAAGATTTATGCAGCTGTAGTTAATGGCGATTGGAGTTATCTAGAAGATCTTTTCGTGGACACCATGATCATGGAGAAGGAAGAAATCACAAATAATGATGATACCATTCTTCATGTAGCTGCGCAAGCTCGACAAACGGAGATGATGCAGAAACTTCTGGAGCTAACGGATACAGAAAATGTAGCTATGAAGAACAAACATGGGAATACACCTTTGCATGAGGCTGTCATCACTGGTTCGGTAGGAGTCTGCCGGGCTTTGGTCGGTAAGGATAGACAGATGCTAGACATGCGAAATGTTTTGGGAGAGACACCATTATTTTTGGCCGCGAAATTTGGGAACAAGAAGGTGTTGAGGTCCTTGGCTTCTCAAATGCCGAGTCTGTTTGACCCAGATGGTGATAGGAGTGCCCTAAGGAGAGATGATGGGCACAACATCCTTCATGCTGCCATTGAGCAGGAATCCTATGGTTTGTCTCTTACGTTTCACTCACTATTAAAATCACCTCCTTTGATCTCAATTCTCAATAAACTTAATTTGGAGCATGCTCAGCCAATTGAGCAAATTACAAAATATTTACATCAAAATTGAAGAGAGTTAAACATTTATGAAAAGAGTAAGAAAAAAAGGTCTCGGATCGGAACTCGATATGTTCCTCTTGGTCAATATCCATTTCATCCTTAGTCGCTTTAGAAGACTCTTTTATAACTTTGGAGTCTGAACAGGAATACATTGACATCACCAACTAACAGTTAAGTATTGTGCAACAATACACGGAAATAGATGGTTTTTATCAGTTTGATTTCACAAACATCTTTACAAAAAGGTTTGTGCCGTGATCAGCTTTCTGTAGTTCTTAGAAAATCAGGTGCAGACAAAATTAGGAGCTCAAAATAAAGCTCCAAATGAGTTCATATTCTAGATACAACTCTAGATGGCCATTTATTCAAAGCTATGATCTAGGGGCTCAAGAGCTCAAGATCGTCTTTTTAAACGGATCCCATTGTTAATCAAAGGATCGAAGAATAGCAGGTCCTGAAGATTCTCCTAACAGAGTGTTTGAAGGGATTGGTCTGTGATGGTCCAGAGAGAAATGTCAAAATACATCATCTTGAGAGTTTTCAAATTACAGAAGAAAAAGTAGGATGGAATAGTATTACACTGCAAAAGGATTGATCTGTGTTATTTCTTGCAGATTCTGCATTAGAGATCCTTAAGAACTTCCCATTTTTGGCACTTTACAGAAATGAAAAGGGCTTGCTCCCTCTCCACATCCTAATCCGCATGCCTTCTCGCCGCTTAGGATTAGTACATCGAGCTATCTATGCATGTAAGTTCCTCTCAAGATCCACTCTCATTTAATAAATAAACGTGCAATTTGGTGCAATACATGTGAACCACGTGCAATGCACAACAGAGGCCTACACTGGAACAGAAGATGTCTGTACAATTGCAATACACAAGAGATGCAATGCACTTCTTTCTTTTTTTCCTTGTTATTATTTTTCTTTATCAATTGCCATGCGTGCAATCACAGAGATATGATCATTATGCTCCAACCACGTTATTTTATTCCACCTCTTATAAAGAAAATAACTTGCATCAAAATACATAATAATACAAGGATACATTTGTACAAAACTTCTACCCTTGATAGACTTATACATTTATACAAACTTCTACCATGAGGATATGCGATGAAGCCAGAGACAGTCAAGAGATATCCAGTCCACAAAAAACAAAATCTGATATAAAGGCAGTATAATTGTTGTAAGGGTAGTAATGTTAGAGGAATCATTACGATAGGGTATAGAATGGATGCGGAAGGCAAATATATATCTAGTGGAATCATAACCATATAATATGACCATAATCAAAATTTCTAGATTTGTCTCATGCACTATGCGGATGAGAAGAAGAGATATATTTGACTTCCTAAATAAATAATTCACAAAAAATAAATTGATCAAAATAACCCTAAAAGTTTAGGGGTAGTTTGATAAATTTAAGTTTTGCAAATTATTATTTTTATATGTTTATTATATTATCTTATTTTTAAAGAATAGATGCTCAAAATTTCAAGAGATTTGGATTTTAAAATTAAAATACGAAATGCAATCATTACCATTAGATCGACCTAAATTCAATCTGGACCATTGAGCTAACATGGTAGTAGTTAATTAGTATATATATATATATATATATATATATATATATAAGAAAAAGCTTGGGTGAGCCCACTAGCTCACAGGAAAAAATGAACCCAACTGCTCGGATTGAATTTGGGTTAATCTAACGATCACAGATGTCTGATAGTGTTTGAATTTTAATTTTATTTTTTACAAATCCAAATCACTTGAAATTTTAAGCGTGTGTTCTTCTCATCAAGCCGCACCTAATAAAAATATAAAAAAACTAATTTGTAAAAAGTAAATTGACCAAAATACTCTCGAAACATTTCGGGGGTAATCTGATCAATTTATTTCATGTAAAATATTTTTTGATATTTTTCAAAGATTCACCTATTTTTGATGTACACACGCTCCAAATTTCAAGTGATTTAGATTTGTAGAAAAAAAATTAAAATTCAGACACTACCAGACATCCGTGATCATCAAATTGGCCTAGATTCAATCTGAGCCGTTGAGCTCATTTTTTCTTGTAAGCTAGTGGGCTTTTTAAATGTCCCTTCTATAACAAATCAATTTTTTAAATCCATTTTTCTATAGATTTTTAAGTTTATTTGGATTTTTAAGGTTATTTTTGGTTTTATTTTACTTTTAGCAACATTATTTTATTATATATATATATAATTTTATTTTTTACTTTTTTTTTTACTTCCAGTTTTTGGTATTGTACTTACTCGATGAGTACATTGGACTCGCTGAGTCACTCGAGTCCCGTAACATTCCATTAACAATATATTGACCACATAAATTTGAAAGAAAGACTGCATTGTTAACGGCAAAATAAGTAACGATAGTCTTGGAATTGTTGCAAATCTCCCGATTTAGAGAAGTATAGGCATTCTAAATAAAATAATGAAATTTTTTAAATTGAAATATGTGGGGGCCATGCTTTTTACTTTGTTCCGAGTATATGCCTTTTGGTCATGTTTATGTGATGGAGCAAATTTTTAAGGATTGTATACGAGTATCTACTTTCAATTTGAATATATCATACTCACCGTTAGGTCAATAACTTTTCTTCTGAACTTTGACCCTGATCAATTGTAATCTTTTTAAATTTAAATTTTAATGGCCTGATTGATTGTGACTTTCTTATACTGATAGCGAATTTTTTTATCATATAATTTTTTTATTTATTTTTAGTTATTTGTGTCATGGATGATTTTATGGTATAGTTTTTATTTTCAGATACAATAGGGAGAAACAAAAACAAAGTTCCAACAAAATGAAATAAAAAACGATGAGAATTAGTACATAAATATCACATGGCAGTTTTTTTTTTTTTGATAGGCACCCTACTTGTTCCCCCTGAAAGGTGGAGTCCCGAGGTCATACGAGACGGTCCAGATGCAACGTTAGAAGACAACGGGCCTAAAAAATCGAGGGTGATTATCGGCTCCATGGTTAATCTTATTAAATCTGTGCACAACGTAACAAGGAGTACAGGTATGCTTCCTCATGTTAAGCGTGAGTGCCGGTATTGTTTTTAAAATATATAATAAGACTATTTATTTTGAGTACAAAGACGTCAGCATCATTCTTGACAATTAGATATAAAATCCGGCTGCCTTTGTGTACTATTGAATGGCTTAAAATTTAAAAGATAATTTTTTGAGCTTTGTGACACACATCATAATTTTTTTTTCAATTAATTGAAGTCGGCTGGTCCGTCAGTCTGTTCTGTTTAAGATCATACCTTCAGTGAGGCCATCTTGATGATAAACAATTTAATAATATAAAGTATTTATTTTTTATAATCATTAAAAACTTGTTGAGAAAATAAACAACCGGATAAAAGATTAACTGTTTACCGAAAGAGAAAAAAAAAAAAAATTGAAGCTGATGAGCCTCGCCAAACAAGAACTAAGAAACCAGTCGTATTAGATAACCAAGAACTATTGAAGTCAAGGTAAATTTTGAAGTCGGTAAGTAAATTTGCCAGGGGATCCTTATGAACTTCTTGACTTGGAAGTCATACTTATAGACTGCCACTAGATCATAAATAAGTGAAATGTGTAATTCTATTTATTTATTCGAAATAGATCTAAACTTTAAGGAAAATATTATTAAAGAGTTTACATTGTTTTCTAAAATTATTAAAGGGCCCAAAAAGATCCTCCATCATTGCAGGATTCGCTTTCAAAGTTTCACATTTAAAAGCTGCCTCCTCAAAACAATAGATAAAAATTACAAGATGCCTATGTTCAAGGTTGGGATCGCGCACAGTTGCAAAGTGACCGAGAAACGCAATCTCATAAAACCCCAAGAATTCCAAGATCGGAACTGCATTATCTCACGCGAATCCTGAATAATTAGGGATATTTTGATAGCTTAGCTAATTTAAGTGGGTCAAGCTGACGTACATCTCAGATATGGACGTCAAAATATTGTGCTTCCACTATACCTCAAAATGGATGGTGGAAAAGCATATTAAAAAAATATTTATTTATTTTTTAAAATTTAAAATTCTAAATTCATAATTACTATGATTGCTGAGATTAACAAATCCCCAAATTTTGGATCCAAAATCTACCTTAAGGGCAATTATTTCATGCAACCGTTGTATAGTAATATGATGCAATAACCTTAAAAGACCATCTTATGGCTATTTGTTTGATCCAAATTTTGAAATATACACTCTTTCATTCTAATGAATAATCACAAAAAAGGAAAATTTGAAAACACAATTTAGAAATTATTTTTTTAGCTCAATTAACATAGGACGTTTATTTTGGTGAGATGCTTAGATCTAGGCCTTAGAAGGATTTTTTCAGTTCCAATTTTTTTGGATGGCTTTATTATCAGCAGATGAACAATGTTAAAAAGAAAAAAATGATTTTGAGTTTATAAATGCTAAGATCTTGAAATTCACAAAATGAATAGTTTAGATTCGTTTTTGGAAGGGACTCATTTTGACCATATGGAGGGTTCAAATTGAACTTTGTTTTTTTTTTTTGGAATTGATTATTTAGATGAAGAGAGTGTGTGTGCAAAATTTGGGATCATACGAATACCACAAACATGGTTTTCTAGAAGTGTCGCTGGATTATACTATAATACAAACATTGCATAGATCATTGCTCTCTATCTTAAAGATGAATTTTGAAGGGGGCCGCATATCTATCGGTGAGTTGGTTGACTCACCAACACTTACCCATTACAGAAATATTCTGTACTCTTAAGTGCGGGGAAAGTAGAACCATTGTTATCAAGACCGAATCGAACCGACGATCCTGTTGGTTCAATCGCCGATCGATGCTTTGGCTGGTTTGGTCCAGAGTAAAACCTAGATTTCCTAAACAACCAATAAAAATTAGTATTTGATTGCTTTGGTTGGTTCGACCAGTTTGATTACTTTATAGTTTTTTTTTTTAATATTTTTAAAATCCAGTCAAACAAATTCGATGGACGGTCAGACTAGACCACTCACCGGTTCAATGAGTGGTCCAATTCAGTTGACACTGAATAGAACTACCAAATGACCTAAACAACCCTTAACAACCAAGGATATTTGAGTATAGACACTTAAAGTGGGATTACTTCCAAAATACCCCCAGTTTTCAACTCTGAGCAAGGGTAATTTGGAATGTTTTAGGGTACGTTTGGATGGTGCGTAATATATCCCCTGAAAAATATTTGCATATGTAAACACTTTGCAGTAAAAACTTTTACAAACTTATATTTGACCATGCTGGTTAACACAATTAAAAAGCACTATGTAATGAATTGCTTATATTTGATAACTTGTTTGGATTTAAATATATTTTATAACTTATTTAAATATATTTAATCTATACATGCAATATTTAAAATAAAACGTTTATATAGAGCGCAGGCTCTAAACAATCAAATTAGAGCCTACTTCAGAAATTTCAATAGAAGAGGTTGTTTTGATGCCTAAATATCCTCAAATTGATCATTGCAACATCAAGATGCATGGACATGAGAAAAAAATGGTTTTCAAGTTTTTGAAATAGTGCATCTTGTAATAAAATTTTAGATTGTTAATTTTCAAGATTTTCAAGTTTTTATAGATCTGCTTGATTTACACTATTTTTGAAATTTTAAATTTTATAATTAAAGATGAGAATATATTTTAAAGCTATCGCAAATATTTCTAATGTTAAAATCATATTTCTCTAAATTATTTGAAGGTGTGATCTAATCTGATTGTTTAGAGCCTCGGCTCTATACAAACGGCACACAATATTTACATATTATAACTAAAAATATAGTTAGCCTTAATGGAAACTCAGTGTCGTGGTTTGTTCTTAATTTTCTTTTTGTAGTTTATTTCATCTCTATTACTTTTCTTTCAATTTTGTTACACACAAATTCTTGGATATTTTCCGTTGGTTGGTTTGTTGGAACCACAAATTAGTGTTTGGATGAGTAAGGACCGGATGGTGGGAACGACTCGAAGGGCTTTCAATTTCCAAAAATTACCATGTAAAGAAAAAGGCTTGTGTGTAATGTATATCTATGTACGTCGTTTATAAACAGGAAATTACACATCATCTTTTTTTTTTCTTGGACTTCTAGCTGGGTAGAAGGCTAGCTCAGCTTTGGTCGTAACTAACTTGAAGGATTGAACGCTTGACTCGGGTTTGGCCCGATTTAGATGACATTCCTCAGCCAAAATAAATACTAAGTGTAGGAACTATTCATTATCAGTAATGGAGGTTGATCATCATTATCTTGATAGCCGTTTTTTAATTAATTGCGGTTGGTTATACGAATCGTGGTCCACTATTCTGCTCTATTAAGAATCATACCCTTATGGAGGTCATAACTCCCCATATCTTTTCGAATTACTTCTAACTGCGTCTTTTTGGGCCTACCCCTTTTCATTTTTGAGCCTTCTACTTGAACTAACTCGCACTTCTTAAGAGGTGTTGTACTTGGTTTGTCAAAAAAAAAAAACAAGTGCTGTACTTGGTGTGCGCTAGCCCACCTAAGTCCACTCTCTCTCATCTTATCGCCTATTGGTACCACCTAAATTTTTTCAAATGTATTCATTTCGAATTCTATTCCTTATTGTCTTGCCATTTATCTATTTCAACATCCTCATCTCCGCTACATTCATTCTATGTGTGTATTGTTTATTTTCCGCTAAATATTCTGCCCCATAGATATGACATGCAATTTGAAAACTATAACGCACCACAATATAACGATTTACCTTGATTCAGTATTCACTAGTTGGGATTAATGCGTATTTCTTGATATGCAGGGCGGAAAGTATTAACTTGGCGATTCCGGACTAGCTCGAGCGATAAGAGAAATATCTTGCAAGACCTAGAGAATCCCCCCGTAACTTCCACATTGAACCTTGCGGAACGTAGCCCCCAGATGAGTGAATTAGATGGCCAGGACTACCTTGCGGAACGTGGCCCTCAGATGAGTGAATTAGATGGCCAAGACTACGAAGGCCTTTTAGAAACACAAACTACAAGGGATAGCCATGCACAAAGATTGGAGCGTTCATGGTGCATCACATTCAAGACTTCTATAAATTTCACATGGAGAGTATTTATGGCTGTTTTGGTAAAGTTTGTTGATCCTATACTCCACGTCGTGACAATTGCCTTGGGGTTAGGTAAGCAGCTATGTCTCTTACGCACCCATGCCCCTCGCATTATTTCAAAGGAAATATAAATAAAAGAAAGAAAATTGTTTCATGCGGGGTGGACCACATTTCTACATATGTGATCCAGAAAGTGTAAAGCATAGTAGGTGTTCCATCTAAAAACAATTGAAACCAGGAGTCTTAATGTTTTCTTACTAGAATTATTACTTTTAGTTTTTAAATTTTATTTTATTTTTTCATATTCATGATCTCCATCTTTAAAAATTAATTCTTAAAATCCATCTAAAAAATAGATTTATTAAGAGGCCTACATTTCTACATATGCGGGTTTGGCGGAACAAAAACTGAGTCCAATACAGAAAGGTCATAGAACAATATAGTTGTTCATGGGTCAGTTTGGATGATGCAGTATTGGAAAGCAAGAGCTCATAGACGAGCTCGGTTATTTGGTGTCTGGTGAGGGGCAAATATAAAGCAGAAAGAGAACCTAATCATATAAAATCAATTAAATCATTACAATTTTTTTGGTCGTTTTATTTATGTATTTAGATGGCTAAGAATAGTTATGAGTTCCTTGTGAAAAAAAATAAAAATAAAATAAAATAATGAAGGTCTTTCTCTCTCACTCTCTCTTTGTTTTTTTTAACTGAAAAATAGCAGACAAAAAGCGCTTCAATCTGAAAAGCCTCAAACATGAGAGAAAAAAGTTTAAGTTGAAATTTTATGTGAATAATTCTGTTTTAGTTTTAAATAGATGATTGTTCAAAATTTATTATTGTCATTTAGCAATATCATTTTCACAAGAACGACCATATTTATTTTTACCACACAATCACTAATATTCGGTCACTGGCACGTTGAAGGGCACACATCGGTGAAGGAACTTAAAAATATGAAGCGGAGGCACAAACTGGGCACCCTGCTTGCGGTAGTGGCGGTTGCTAAATTGATGGACCATGGGACTGCGAGGGCCGGCACGCAAGGTCCACCAGCAGGCAGTGGATCATTCGACATGCACAATCCGTTGAGCCCCTTCTTGCGCATGGATAAACCCCCCAAAGCCATCGCATCAGTAACCCCACATGAAACCAGTCTGGGCACCTCAGACCCCATCGATTATGTTGGCTTTTTCGGAACTAGAACAATTGGTGCCAACCACGGTGGCTTCTATGGCCTCACACCAATTGATCGAAGTGGGAATCATTCGACATCAATTACACAAAAAGGAAGCGACAGCTCAGGTTTGAGTGCACAGGATGCCGTGGTTTGGAGTGCCCGCGACTCGGTTCTATGGGAGGCAACAAAGAACGGGGTTTTGGAGGTGGTGAGAGTTATTTTAGCTGCTTCGCCTGATGTGGTGAATGTGGTGGATGAGAGGGGAAGGAACATTTTGCACCTTGCAGTGCAGTACAGACAACCGCATATTTTCAAGCATATTCTTAAGTCTGGAGTACCCTTGGGGTTCGCTTTGAGGACTGTAGATAAGGATGGGAACAATTTATTGCACTTGGCAGCTAAGCTACCAGAGCAAACCAACCAGCATGCGGTCGTCCAGGGAGCTGCTTTGCATATGCAGTGGGAGCTGGAGTGGTATGAGGTAAATCTCTCGCTCTTAGTGGTCATGTTACAAAATCATACTCCCAAAATATTGACCACAGAGCACCCCATTCTTACGAAGATGAAAGTACTAGACCTCATAAATACTCAAATTTTATTTCAAGGGAGTATGAAGATTTTTCTTTATTTAAAATTAATAATATATTTTAGAGACATTTATGATCAAACTTTTGTTACTAGGGTTCTCTAACATCATGTACAAAAGAGTGATTTACGTATGTACCCTAAATTTTTTGGTAAAATACAAAATCGTTCGTTTATAGGCGGAAATTACAAAAAAGGTCGGTTAACCCATCTTTTTAACTTTTTCAAAATTACCCATCGGACAACCTAAATTTTAATTTTTTTTTTTTGATATAGTATTTTTCATTAGTAGGGCAGTGCTTTTATTTAAAATTAATAATATATTTTAGAGACATTTATGATCAAACTTTCGTTACTAGGGTTCTCTAACTTCATGTATAAAAGAGTGATTTACGTATGGACCCTAAAATTTATGGTAAAATACAAAATCGTTCGTTTATAGGCGGAAATTACAAGAAAGGTCGGTTAACCCATCTTTTTTATTTTTTCAAAATTACCCATCGGACAACCTGAGTTTTAATTTTTTTTTTTTGATATAGTATTTTTCATTAGTAGGACAGTGCTCAAAGCTTTAAGCATTAGTAGGGCAGTGCTCCAAGCTTTAAGGCACTGCCCTACTAATGAAAAAACTAAAAAAAACTATAAAAAAAGAAAGTCAAAATTTGGGTTGAAAGAGATTCAACTTTGAAAAAAAAAGTGGGTTGAACGACATTTTTAGTAATTTCCATATATAAGTGGAGCATTTCGTATTTTATCTAAAATTTTAGGGTCCATATGTAAATCACTCTATATAAAAGGAAAAGGTTTACATAAGCCTGCAACATTAAAATGTAGAATTAAGGTGTACCCTAAATATCCATCATAAATAGTTATTTTGACGTTGGAAAACCCTTTAATTGATCATATGGACATCAAGATGTATGAATATGAAAGGAAAAATAGATTTTGAATCCCAAAATAGTGTATATTGCAACACTTTATCGGGACTATCTATTTTCAAGATTTTATGTATTTATAGATCTACTGGATTTGACCCATTTATGGAGTAGAAAGTTTAATAATTAAATATGAAAATAGATTCTCGAGCCATCCTAAATTTTTTGGACACCAAAATTATATTTATGATAAAATTCGCAGATGCGCCTTAATTTGATTGTTTAAGGTTGCAACCTTACAAAACCCTATATAAAATGAGATTTTTTCTCTAATTATTTTCCATACCGAACGCTGATTAAGGGCCTATTTGGATTTGTGCATCATAGGCAGCCCGAATTCAAGTGCCCACCCTTCTCTTTTAATTTAGTTTGGGGCCGATTGTTAAATACGAATCGCTCTGGCTTGCATGTTAAATGCCGCTTATTTTAGAGTGGGTAGAATCTATGAAAGGTGTGGTTAAGCTTATGAGGTGTATTTTATACAGCGCCTCAAGTAAAAATAAGGTCGTTTTATAGCAACCATTTTTTTGGGTAATTATTTTAGGAAAAATATCTCTTTATCCTCTATTTTTAACTTCCATATCTCATGAGATCCAAGAATTGAAACTATTACTTGTAAACAAAAGGTCATCATCTTTTCTATCTTACAACCCCCTGGATCCTTTTGACCATAAATTTCTGACCCAAACAAACACTAAAACGATACCCTATTCAAACTCTATATCTCTCTCTCTTCGCTTCTCGGTGAGTTTACCAGCAAAGGGGTTTAGCTTGAGCTCGAACACGAGCATACCTTCTTGTGTGTGAGAGAGAGATGAAGTTTGGGTTTTAGAGAGAGATAGAGTTTTAGAGAGAAAGAGATAGAGTTTGGGTTTTAGAGAGTGATGGAGTTTGGGTTTTAGAGAGAGAGAGATAGAGTTTGAGTTTAAGGGAGAGAGAAGGAGTTTTGAGACAGAGAGAGAGAGACGATGATGTGAGAGAGAGACATGGAGTTTGGGGTTTAGAGAGAGATTGAGTTTTGAGAGAGAGACGATGATGTGAGAGAGAGATTGAGTTTTGAGAGAGAGAGATGATGATGTGAGAGAGATGGAGTTCTAAAGAGAGAGTTAGAGTCATTTCATAATTTGTTGAAGTCCATAATACATGGTCAAAAGCGTTTAGGGGTTGGAAGATAGAAAAGATGGATTCCGTTTGCTTACAAGTAATATTTTCAATTTTTGGATCTGATGAGATATAGAAGTTAAAAATAAGAGATAATAGGATATTTTCCCATTAGTTTGTACCATCAATTGTAGTTGAATAGTATCGATTTGACATAAAACTTAAGATAGTATCAAAATTTGATGCTTTAATACTATAACAAAACTACAACTAAAATGAATGATGCTGTAACCTACTCCGTTCTTTCTGCAACTAAGATTATTGCCCTATATAGACTTTCTCCGAACCTAAATTCGTTTTTTTCATTCTCCGGTAAGTTGGCCTAGTGCTACGGATTTGTATACCGCATCCAAATTGACCCGAGTCTCACAAATCACTGATAATATCTTCATGTCTTGAAATTGTGAAGATGGTGAAGGAGTTCTTGCCCAACCACATGGTCCTCAAGCAAAACAAAGACCACAAAACGCCCATCGAGCTTTTTAGGGCAACGCACAGCACACTGGGCAAGCAAGGCGCCGACTGGCTCACAAAGACCGCCAAGTCCTTCTCACTAGTGACCACACTCATTAGTACAGTGTGCTTTGCCGCCGCCTTCACGGTGCCAGGCGGAGTCAAGCAAGAGAACGGGCAGCCCGTTCTCTTGGGGAAGACTCCATTCCTTGTTTTCTTGATAGCAGATCTGGTGGCCCTCTCTTTCTCTATCACCTCTCTGGTTATGTTCCTTGCTATCCTCACATCTCACTTTCAAGAATGGGACTTTCACCGCCGTTTGCCATGGCAACTGTTGGGGGGCCTCTCTACTCTCTTTATCTCTATTGCTGCTATGCTGGTGGCCTTCAGCTTTGGGCTCATTCCCCTTTTGCATGGAAGGTTCAAAGACTTGAGGCTCATTATCATTCTTGTTCCAAGCATTCCGATTGGTATCTTTGCATTCGTTCACCTTCCTCTCTATCTCGATCTGTTCGAGTACAGTCTCCGGAAATTGCCACGACTTAGTTACAAAGATGATGTGCTGTGATGAACTACTCGGGGGGTAGAAAGCACAGCGCGTTTCAGCTACCAGAATGTTGGAGGATTATCCTAATTAGTCTCTCCCTCTCTCCTCTCTCCAAATTTGTTTTTTTTAATTGGAAAAAATTTATATAATTTTCAACCTTTATATTATGTAAGTAAGAAGCCCCTGAAAAATGTATGAAAAAAAAAGGTTGTTTTGACACGGAATACCATCCCATTGATCATCTAGACCTCGAGATTTATGAATATGAGAAAGATAAAATGATTTCAAAAATTTCAAGTGTTTTTAGATTCGCTAAATATGCAAAATCTTTTAATTTTCATGCCATCACAAGAGTTTTCAGTCCCATAATTGCATCTATCGACATGGTTTGGTGGTGTGCCTTACTTTGGTTAAGGTTGTTGCCTTATACAAATCACACTTTTTTTATTGGTAAGCCAAAAGATAGGAAAACATGGCTCATGCTCAACTCTTGTCTATAATAGTTCTGCTGTGTAATACATCAGCTGAGTATTAGCACCTAAGTCGATATTTAGGGCTCCACAGCAGGTTAGTTTTAGATAACACAACTTTACGTCATTCATGGCCCGGTCCTGGCCTAAAATCCCATTATCGATTTGTGTTGGAATCTTGTGCCTCTTCTCTCTCTCTCTCTCTTTTTTTTTTTATAAAATAAATTATATTTAGATTAGGCCAAGCTACCTTTACCAAGAGTAGAGTCGGGCCTGAGCTAGGGTCCCTTTGTGTACGTCTAGGCCAGGCCCACCTTTATGGGGCTTGAGCCTGCCCTGGCCCTTCCCTTGCCACCATTATAACGTGTGAATGTAGTATTTGTAGACCGGCACCATGTGCAAATACAGATCGTGATTTCAATTTCAATTTTAAGCATCTGTATGCAATGAATTTATCATGGCCGTTGGCGGTTTACATCTACCGTTGGGGTAATTTTGCTTTTTCCTACGGTATTTCATTCAGCTCATTCAACACTTTAGCGCCTATTGAGTTTGCTGGCAATGCTTACATCATTTTCATTAAATTACTAAAGGTAAAGCAAATGTGTTCTAAATCTATAGTTAAATGGAAAATTGTACTTTAAAGTGCTAAGTACAAGGGTGAATTCCCAACTAAGAGGCAAAGTAAATGGCATTGGCAATAAACAAAGAAAAGTAGGAAGCATATATGCTCAAATTTTTGGAAGAATATATTCCTCTCGAATGGCATACGGTGAATGGAAAGGGAAATGGGCATTGCCCTGTGGACGATTGCCCATTCGTAAAATTAGACATACATGAGTACGTTGAAATTTGATATTTTTGAAGATATGGTTATCAATTTCCTTGTCCATTTTTTTTTTTTCAATGAAGTTGATTGTATATTAATATATATTAATAGAGACTGTGTATTATAATAGAATATCAGGATTGCATATTCTACAACTATTTACCTAAAATACAAGAAGGTCATAATCAATTTTTGTCATTAGATGTGAAATTAGGCAGTGAGGGTACAAGAGGCAGTTCAAAAACAAAATTTACTGAGTTTTACATGTAGTTATTGCCACAGCTACATGCATTAGATTCCACATCCAATGATCAACAGTGATTGTGATATTTTTTTACCAAAACTAAACAGTATGATCATTTTCTTTTTTTTTTCATAATAATATGTAATAAACAAACGACTTACATAATGGAGACGGTGACAAGGATTCGCCCACTGCACAAAATTGGTGTCTCAGTCTAGAGGGAGTAACCTGCATAAGCTACGATGCTATATGAAATTGCTTCTCAAGTTTAGGGTCGGATAATCAAAAAGCCCAAAAAATCTGTTAACGTATTGGACTCTCTCCATGCATGCAGGGCAAGGGCTGTGAGATGTTGCCAAGACCCTCTCAACCAACTAAGTAGGGTAGAATTGTTCATGTTGAGATGGAGGATGATCGCACTCAACTCGAATAGAAGATTCAATCAACTCCAAAAGGCCGAAAAAAAAAATGCTTCCAAATATTTCTTTGATTTCATTCAAATTCATCATCTTCCTTTACAACTATTATATATCCCTTATTATAAACTCAAAAACTAAGTCTACATGTTTCCAAAGACGCCCAATCAAAGTCCCTATACATTAGAGACTAAATCGACCTTTGGAATTCTCAAAATAATAAGGGAAAATTACAAATATCCCTAAAATCAATTTTTTAGACATTTTACCTCGAATATTTTTTCTCTCACATCTTAACCCCAACAATGTTTTTCTGTCTTTTGTATTTACCCCCAGTCAAGAAATCAATAAAATTGGGACTAAAATGCCTTCGCTCTCTCCGGCTGGAATTCTATGACATAAATGCTTTTCTTATTCTCTCTCTACCTGCCCTATCCGACTCTCTCTCTCTCTACCCACAACTCTTCTTTTTTTCTCTCTACCCACCCGTTCTTTATCTCTCCACCAGCCCCCTCCCCCCCCCCCCCCACCCCTCTCTCTCTACCTTCCTCTCTTCCTCTAGCACCTACCCACTCCCAAATCTCCAGCAAAATCACCAAACAAATCCTCATTTTTCAGGCATGAGAGTTGCACAGATAGAGACTTGTTGTTGCTGCTCTTTACATGAAAACCAAGGGAAATTTCAATGTTTTGGATGCTATATGCGGATGTGGAATCCATTCTTGGAGGTATTTTTCTCAAGCAAATGCTGATTTTGTTTGAGCTGATGGTAATGAAGAGCAAAGGAACACAATTCTTTCCAATCTTAAGCAAGAACCTAGGTTTTGGAAATCTGTGTTGGATAGACCTCATCAAAGCAGGGGTTACAGAGGAGATGGACATGGTGGGTCTGACTGGTCTATGGAATATGATGTTTTTTATAATGGATCTCAACAGATTTGGGTTTCTAATGAAGGGTACGATGAATTTCAGAGAATTAGGGATGACAGATAGAGAGAGAGAAGGAGAGAAAGAGAGGGCCAGAAGAGATAGAGGAAAAAAAGAGAGGGCTAGTAGAGAGAGAAAAAGAGAGGGTGGGTAGAGAGAGAGAAAGGGGGATAGAGAGAGGGTGGATAGAGAGAGAAGGTGTTGCGAACACACGTGACTATAAAAACATAAGGGTAGAGAGAATAAAAGGGTATTTTTGTTTTAAATTTTTTTTTATTTTTTTGATTAGGGAATAAATACAAGTAAAAATAGTATTGGCTTTATGTTGTGAGAAAAAAAGTGTTTAAAATTGAGATTTAGGGTGTCAGAAAAAACATGTTGAGAGATAGAACGTCTAGGTAGTTGATATTGGGGTATCTATAATTTTTCCTAACAATAACTAGCTCCATAACTAAGCCACCACCCATGCAGATGTATTCTATTGCAATCCTAGTTCTCATGGAAACTAAGCCCACGTGCAACTCGAGTTCCAATGTGAGTTTTGCCAAAGAAAAACATTAATTTTCATACATGGAACCTATTTTCTATACAAACATCTCAAAAAAATGAAAGAAATTTTATGCATCATTAACCATTTGTCCGATGCACATGCACTTGCACATCCACCTCGGTGCTAAGTGTCGGATTGGACCATGCTGTGACTGAAAACTGCATCTTATGTGAAAAAGAAACAAAAAGAAAAATATAAAAAATGACAGGGGTGAGAGATGATATTCATTAAGATCTGAAACTCCACTTACAAACACATTATTCGGATAGGATACATACAAATCATATGCGGGCTCATAAAATCCTGAGATGAACAAGACGACTTACACACCGAAGATCACATCCACACATGGACACTCACAATGCCTTATTTAATACTCAAGATACCAAACAAAAACATTCAAAACCAAACAGAAGAAAGCGATCAAATCCATGTTGAACGACGCCCTGTTTGCTCCCTCGTCACATCAGAGAATATCATCTTTGTAACTAAGCTGAGGGAGATCAGCTAAGTTGTACTCCAAAAGATCAAGGTAAAGTGGTAGCTGATCTAGAGCGAAAATGGCAATGGGGAAACTAGGAACCAAGATGATGGAGAGTTTCAGGTTCTTCAAGTGACCATGAAGCAAGGGAATCAGACCTGAGCTAAAGGCAACAAGCATAGCAGTGATGGAGATGAAAAGAGAAGTGAGGCCCACTAAGAGGCGGCGCGGCAAGCGAAGGTGAAAATCGGATTCTTGAAAGCGCGATGTTAGGATGGCAAGGAACATAATCAATGCAGTGACAGAGAATGCAAGCGCAAGCAAATCAGTAGCCACAAATATAGTGAAGGGCCGGCTTCCCATGAGCACCGGCTCTCCACTTTCTTGATTGGTTCCACCAGGTAGGGTGAACCCTGCGGCAAAGCAAACGGTGCTGATGAGTCCCGCGACCAGCGAGCAAGACTCAGCCGTCTTTGTGAGCCACTCGGAGCCTTGCTTCACTAGGTTCCGGTGCGACGATCTTAGAAGCTCTATGGGTGTCCTGTTGTCCTTGTTTGCCATCATAGAGAAGTGGACGGGTACGTACTTCCTCACCAACTACATGGTCACAAACAATAAAGTTAGTGCTCATATGTTATGATTGTGCATGGCACAGATACTTGCAACTGACCTTGACCTCCCCAATCTATACTAATCCACATGAAGTCTTACCATGAGCGGACTTTATCAATTGGGCAAATATAAGTTCGATCAAGATTTGTTTTTATCGGGTTAACGGGAGCTTTTCTGGACAGACATTATAGAATAACACTCTTTGATGAGAGATATGAGCACCCTCTTTTCCGGTCCAGTCGTGGTACAGCCAAGCTTCCCCATATTCATATGATGAGCGAGACAGTTGCTTCCCGGCAGTGGCACTTGAACCTGAACGATTAGATCCAATTGGATATGGTGCGTTCAGATTCTATAGATCCAGCCGATTTGGGCTAGTCTTATCTTACCCAACCCCAGAACTCAGAATGGGCGGCCAGTTTTGGATGGTGGAACGGGGTTTTAAGTCCTCAGGTCTGGTTTAAATGTTTGTGTGAGATGGGGGTGTTTTAATGATTAGCATGCTAGATTTCATTGGAAAGGGTATGAGGTATTGTGACCTTCTAGTACCAAATTTAACTGGTTTGTATGAGGCGCCCTCTTTACATGTAAAAGTAAGGCGCATTTCTAAAATTTGTTTGGAGATGTGGTTCTAATGTCCAGATACTTATGATGGTTTGAAAACATATTTTCTTCCCTAGATATAAAATTCAAAATTTAAAAAATGATACGTATCGAATAGATCTATAAACACTTGAAGATCTTGTAAATAGATGTCTCAAATAACTTGTTACGATATGCACTATTTCTAAGAATTATTTTTTTCTTCATATCAACTTTTCTCAAGGTTGATATGATCAATTGGAGCATTATCCAACGTGGGAACACTCTTCTTAGATGATTTTTTTGGTGCACCTTACTTCAATAGTATGAGGTTGGCATCTTCGGACCGCTTTATTTCTTGGCAAACAAATGAGCTAATGCGGTTCGAGGATGCCAACCTCGGACTGCCCTGAAGAGCACCAAAGAGGGTGGTCAGAGACTTGTAGCTAGGACCGCCTCTCAATTCTTAAAAAATTTGCGGTTTGAGGATGTCAACTTCATACCGCTTTGAAGAGCATTACAGAAGGCGGTCCAATGATGCTAACATCGGACTGACTGGGCACTGCTCCAAACACCAGGGCAAAACCCTACTATCGAAAAAACTTAAAAAATAAAATAAAAAAATCCAACAAGGGGAGGGGCAAATTTTGAAAGAATAAATGATCACAAGTTGACATACCCTCCGTGTAATTTTAACCACAAATTGACTCATTTCGTATTTTGTAGAATTTTTATGTGTCCGTATTCTTATACTGTGCCTTTGGAATGTTTTCCTTTCCATTGGAGGGCTGGGGAGAGGTTAAGTAGCGCGCTATCGTGCTGGGCAAAAGAAAAAACTTACATACCTCATACCACTGTAGCTCCCACTGCATATGCAATGCAGCTCCTTGGACCACGGAATGCTCATAAGTTTGCTCCGGTAGCTTGGCGGCCAGATGTAGCAAGGTGTTATCCTCAGCATCCCTTTCTCTCCGTGCACTTGCCCATGGTAAGCCGGAGTCAGCAATGTACTTAAAGACGAGGGGTTGGCGGTACTCTACAGCCAAGTGGATAACATTTTTGCCCCCCTCATTTCGAAATGCGAAGGAATCCGGCGCTTCGTGAAGAACCACTTTCACCACCTCCAGAATCCCATTCTTAGTTGCTTCCTGTAAAAGCTTGCTCCCCATGCTTGTCTGTGTAGTGCTTGCTTTAGGCTTTTCGCCGACGCCAGTGCCAACGGGAGCAATTCCATAGAAGCCACAGTAGCCACTACCGATCGCTTTATTTCCGAATAGGGCTACATAGTTAGTGCCATCTGAATCGTTTTTATCGTCAATTCCCCCGCTGCCATTAGGTTTAGGGAACGGAATAACTGAGGCTTGCTGGGAAGGTTTAGGGAACGGAATAACTGGGGGTTGCTGGGAAATAGTTGCACTTCCTGTTGGAGGGACACTTGAGGAAAGAAAAGGAGGAGCAGTTGAGGATTTTTCAGATTCTGGACGTGTGCCATCTCCTTGACCACCGACTGTACCGCCAGGCTTTTCCTGTAAATCGATTTCAGCTGCAAGCGCCTTCACAAGTACTTTTGCCAGTTTATGCTTCTTCTTCTTCTCCTTCAGCGACCTTATCGTCAAATAGCCTGTGAAGAGAGATAAATGCAACCTTCACCGATGACAACTTCCCTATGTATGTTTTTTTTTTGTTGTCGTCTCTCCCCCAAGCTGGCTTGCAAATTTTAATGCTCGGACCAAGCCAAGCCAAACAGCTAGTTTATTGATCAAGCCAAGCTCAAGCTCGAGCTGAGCTTAGCTAGAGCAACCCTAGCTCGAGCTTTTTTAACACGATATATATATATATATATATATATATATAGCAATAAATATTAATAAAAAATTTTATGCTTCAATTCAAAAATCACTTGAAGCTTGGATCGATGTAATAGATATGAGTAACATGTTTATAGATTGATTTGGCTTTATTTGGTTTATATGAACTTGTTTATGGCTTGACTTAGCTTATTTGGCAGCTTTCTTAACAAAGTAAGTGAACTATTTAGTAGTAGAAAGGGCTATTATGAGCTATATAGTATTTTACCTTATCTTATGATTTCATTTAAAAAAACGTTATCAAAATAGAGATGATGATGATAAGCTATATAGTATTTTAGCATATCTTATAATTTCATTTAAAAAGAAGTTATCAAAATAGAGATGATGATGAGCAGCAATAGTAAAAAGAAGAAGAAGAAAAGAGTAGAATATTAAATAGTTGATAAGTCAGGTGTATTTCAATAAATTTTGTTGTGAAAAATCCTCACCTAGCCCCAACACAACCGTGAATGAGGTTACTAAGAGATGCACAATCATTAGAAGGGTGTTGTAAATGCGTGGATATCGAGGCCGTAAAGATTTCTTCACTCCCGCACTTTTCATGAAAGAAGCTCCATTATTTTGGCTTTGGGAGGCCGCTGGGGCATCAACTGCAACGTTTTCATTTTGGCTCTGGGACGACGGCTGGGTTGCTTGGGCTTCACCTGAAATGTTTTGATTTTTGCCTCTTGTCATTGTTTTTTGGCTCTCTATATCTCCATCGTTACGACGCTTCCACGCTGAGTAAAAACGAAAAACAAAAGGTTTTCTAAGTGCCTCAAATGGAGGAGCTCATGCGCGCAGAAGCTTTAAACTAGACGGCTTCAGTTTCGGCAAATAAAGTAAGAGAAATCAAGCATGAAACATACACTACAAGAATACAAATATTTACTTGGTTAACCTCAAGAGAGCTACATCCACGTAATATAAAGATTCATGTGCTTCACCCCAATAATAAAAATATTTACTTGGTCAAACCCAAAAGGGTTACATCCACATAATACAAAGATTCAAGTGATCACCCCAAGTGGGCGCACGGCAAACTGAAATCCGTTATACCAATGAAAGTTATATATAAGATTTTGGAACTCGTAACCATTACCAACAATATCAGATAGAGATGCGAGAGTAAAAGGAAACTGACTGCGAGAGCAATGAGAAACTGACTTTCTCTCAACCCACAGTTTCTCTTTAACTAAAAGGGAAAACAATCCAAAAGAGAACCGCTTCTATACATGAAACAATCATCTCAATCTTCATGAGGCACAATCACGATGTTTCTTTCCATAAGAAGCTTTCTTTTCTCTAGGATGGCACAGGAGGCCCTGCCCCACTCTCCCTCTAGAGGAACCACCATTCCCATGTGTGACTTAACTAGGGCATGTGTGACCCAACTAGAGGGTACGAATTCTCTGCGCTTTCATCTCATACATATAACATTAGGAATCCACACTAAATAGGAAATTTCTTATTGATGTTACATATATCTCAAAACACCAAAAGATATATCCATGTCGTTTTAGATTTTTATTTCATTTAAGAAACTTATCAATATCAATCTCAATCCCACATAATAAGGGATTTATTTGTGTGGGGGATTTGGGATAGCATCATATCCAACAGGGACATCGAAGTGGCTCGATGAATCTTAGATTCCACCCAGACATCCAATGCCTCAAAGAATTTTATACTAGTGTGAGTTTAAGAGAGAAGTTGACACCTAAAATTTTGTGTCAAAAATATTTTGCAGAAAATTTTTTAAAATAAAATAGTGTAGAGACGTAACATTGTGATTGGGGCCATATCAGCCGTCCAATCAAAATGGACAGTTGGATAAGGAGGAGTATGTAAGTTTCATGTTGTAGAAAAAGCGTAGAAAGCTTTCCTAAAATTGATTTGATTTAATTTAAAAAAAAGGAGGAAATTATTAATTAACCTTTGGTGGGACCCATTCCCTCTTCATTTTTCAATTAATTTGATGGATGGTAAATCAAAAAATTTATAATGATTGTCGAACTCCTTCAAATTCCAAAGTCAACAATCATTGTTGACATTGTTGAGGTTAACCATTCTCTCTTTTTGAGTGGAAGAACATCTTACCTCAAATTTTGACAAACTCTTAAGTAAGTAATGGCACCCATAAACATCTTTGTTGTTAACAGGAACTGTTGAGGATCTGCTAACAAAGTGTTTAAAACTTAAACTTCTCTTATGATTTAGTTCTCCCATGGGAATTAAGGGGTGGGGGAGCATGCTATGCAAGCAATTCGCATGGGCCAAACATTATTTTGTTTTGCTTTCTTTTTAGAGTTATTTACGTACAGACCCTAAATTTTTTTCTAAAATACGAAATGTTCCGTTTATAAGTGGAAATTACAAAGAATATTGGTCAACCCTTTTTTTTTATTTTTTATTTTTTATTTCTATTCCATCCTCAGACTGAATTTTAATTTATTTATTTTTTAGTTTTTTCATTAGCAGGGAAACTAAAATTAAAATTAAAACTAAAGCAAAATCTAAAACAAAAATAATTAAAATTCTGTCCGAGGATCCTCAGATTGAGGGAAAATTTTGGAAAAAAAATAAAAAAAATGGGGTTTTACTAATCTTCTTTGCAATTTCTGCTTATAAATGGAGCATTCATATTTTAGAAAAAAATTTAGGGTCTTTACGTAAATCACTCTTCTTTTCAGAAAAAGCACACAGTCACAATGAACATTAGCCATTGGATGTTGAATCAAGTGTCTAAGATCATCCCACTATCTCAGGCTTGAAATCTCAAAAAGAATTTTAAAACTTTGGGACATATTCTAAACTCTCATATTTCATATTTGACGGATATGACTGATTGTCCTCCTTATACCAAAGATAAATAGTCCGGTAAAATACAACCAATTTCATGTACCTTTGATTTTTTCTACAATGGGCTTGATGATGCCTTCTTTGGTCCCGAAAAAATAACCCATGGACTTGCAAACCATTCTTGACAAACCCAATACCGCTCCATAATTTGATGGAAACTTCGAGCTGACATTGCGCTGCCAATATTCATCGAATTCTTCATATTCTTCGCCTTGATCCTTGCCTGCATGTTTTCCATCCTTCAATGGTTTCCACACTTTTGGGGATGCCAATTGAACTGAGATGACTGCCAAAAAGAAATAAAACTATTGATGTTCAAGGATAAGTAGATCTGATTTAGCATTCCGAGGTAGTAATGACCATGAATCAGGAGACAAAATCCATGTATGGTAGTAAACACATCAGGCATAGGTCAAGTGACCATGGTTGAACCAATTTTCCGGCATATACCCGGTTATGTTCAGAATCATGAAACCTTAACCTAGACCTGGCTGCATTCAGAACCATAGAACTGAGAGGGCAAGAATCCCAGACTCAAACCGACTCTGACCCAGGACTGTTTTTTCTTTTTAGTTCAATTCTTCAGGGTTTTCAAAGTAAAGGATATGTTTTCTAAGTTCTCTGTAGATATGGATTTATGGAGAGAGCGAAGAAAACGAAAGAGAGAAAAGAGATCTTGTTCTAGTATAAGATGCCATCTCATTGGAACATATGAATATTCCTAAGAGACAAAATTGATTAATTGTTGATGGTCGCAACACTTCATTCCAAGACTAAACTGCTACAAAAAAAAAAAGAGTAGAATGATAAAGCATGGTAACATGGGTAATCTTTTTAGGTCTTGTTAGTTTAATTCTTTTTGTTGTTTCAAAGATTACTCTTTTTTTTTTTTTCTCTTTCATTCTGATGGTTTGCATATTTTTTGTGGTCCGTGTGGACGACCATCTGTTTAAAAGTTTGTCCTTGTGTGTAGAAGGAAAGAAAATGAGGCTTGTCCATTACTTGGCTGTTTATCACTCCCTTTTATTTACCAACCTCGCATGTAGCATAAAGGTTATTGGTATTATTTTTTCATGGGAGACGTTTCTATATTTCTCCCACTGTACAAAAGTTCTATACTTTCATCCATCCAGCCATTCCATTTGGATCAAATAAGTTATTGACCGTTTGATTTAGATCCAACACTTCAGAATAATTTATTTTTAGTCTATATTCTGTAAATTATATTAATATGTAATTTGGTATGTGCTATCATCTCAATGGGACATACCTAAAAAAATATAAAAGAAATAGTTTCAATAAAATAAAATACCAAAATACTCCTGAAACATTTGGGGGTATTTTTATCATTTTATTTTATTAGGAATTTTTCTATATATATTTTTGGCTGGTGAGAGTTTAAAAGACGAATCCGCGTAGTGTCAAAATGTTCTGTAGAAAAAAATTTAAAATATAACAGTATAGAAGCATGACATTGTAATTAGAACTATCTCTACCGTTCATTTAGATATAATGGCTAGATACGGGGAAATATATAACTACTATGGGAAATGATCTAATGCAACGGTTGTAAAGTAGTATAACACAACCACACCTCTAGAAAACCATATATTTTGGCATTTGTAGAACCCCAAATTTTGTACACACATTTTCTTCATCCTTATAATCAAATATTATGATTTTTTTTTTCAATTTTCACCTTAGATATGGTCAAAACTAGTACCCATCTAACAATGAATCTCGATCATCCATTTGGTGAATTTCAAGATCTAGGCCTTAACAAATTCAAAATCACTTTTTTCTAGTATTATTTAATCTAATGATGATAACGGTATATAAAAATTTTGGGAATAAAAAAATCTTTCTCAGGCCTATATCTAACCATCTCAATAAAATGGACGGCTTATATTAATTGAGCTAGCATGAAAACTTTCTGAAACATTTTTTCAAAATTTTCTTTTTTGTGGTTGTTCTTTATAATGAAAAAGGTGTACATTTAAAATTTTGTATCAAACAAATGTCTCTAACATAGTTTTTGAAGATAGTTGCATTATACTACTATACAACCGTGGCATGAAATCATTCCCCAACTACTATACATTAGGGGAAGTATGGAAAACTTGCCCTATTTTCTTATGATCGTTTTCATAATCCACCTTAAAAACTTGCCCCATCAAAATCCATCTTAAATATAGATTTTGGATCCAAATTTTCAGATTTATTAATTTTAACTATTGTGGTGACTATGAATATGTAATTTTTATTTTTGAAAAACAAAAATCATATTTTTTGAGTATGTTTTCACTGTCCATTTTGAGTTTATGACGTACATCTCTAAGATAGACGTATGATTCATGAGGAGACTCACATGTTTTGGTGAGTCATCTGAATCACCAGAACTATGCCATTTTAAAAGAAGGGAAACAAATACAAGGGTGGTTGACACTATTAAGAAAAACGAGAAGAAAACGTTGTTCCAAGAAGGAGTTGAATGCTACTAGGAAGAGATGGGAACTTCGAAAGTCAATATCAAGATTTCTAGAAGTCTATTAAGGTCCATTGACTGTCTTTGTTTATTTTTTATTTGTTTTGTATGTCAAATTGAGTTCCTTGATCACTATCAATTTGATAACAAGATTAGTAACGATGTGATTCTAAGCGAGTTTTTGAGCATGTAACTTAGAGACTCAAGAAGAGTTTCTTGATCTGGCGGTGTCCTGGGGGTGTTCCTTCCGATACCGTTTGCATCTTAGTTTCTATCCAAGTTGGTGGTGTTAAACCGTTTGAAGAAATCGAGCTTCACTTGTGCCTCCAAATCCTGAACTAGTTTAATCACTTTGTAACCTATAAAAATACTTTTAATTTTTATGAAAATTTAATTGGGATTAAGAGTATTTTTTAATATAAATTATCGTTCTAGATTTAATCCTTGCGGGGTTAACTGGTTGTAGAGTTTTTGAAGATTTGTACCGACTCCAGAAACTTCGGATTGTAGCCTGCCTAAACAATGTTAGGGCCTCCTATCGTAAGCTCTATCTAGAAATGTGGTCCTTTAATATTTTTTACTTTTTTTCCTTTTTTTTTAATGCAATGAAAGGGGTATTTTCCAACTGAATGACACATATCAAACTCCTAAATACATACTAATACCTGTAAATATTCTCCATATAATTACTTGGCTTTTGAGTATTTGTAACATGCATATTCATTTAAGTATTTAGGTGCACCTCAAAAATCCATTGAAAAAACCTATTTTGACATTGGAAACCATCTGATTGATTATCTCAATATCAAGATATATGGATATGGACAAAAAAATAAAAAAGAAAGAAGATTTCAAGTCCCATAAATAGAAGATTTCAAGTCCCATAAATAGTACATCTTGCTACAAATTATCTGGACTGTCTATTTTTAAGATTTTTATGTATTTATAGATATATTTGATTTAAACTATTTTTGGAGTTCAAAAGTTTTTAATTAGATATAAAAATAGATATCCGGGCTGTCCTAAAAATTTTAGACACCAAAATTGCATCTTACAACTAAGTTTGGAGGTGCACCCTACCTTGATTCTTTAAGGATAAAACCTCACCTATAGAGCATTTTATAATTGTACTCAACAAATTTTGGACACTTATATATCATTGTTTTGGACATAGAGCATTTTTTTTAGTAAGGATATTTTTTGTCATTAGGAGAGATATGACATCATTCACATGAGGTGTGACATCAACCATATAGAGTACACTAGTGGTATTTAATGTTCCATATAAGTAATGTCACAGCCTATGTGGATTATATCACACCCATTCTAATGATTAAAACATACCCTTATTAAAAAATATTAAATATAAAAGAAAGATATACCTAAATGACCAAAATTTGTTGCACATAGTTATAAAATAC